GCACTTTAGAAATCAAAGGATTGACCTGTACACTTTGAAAGACATGGAGCATCGGATGCAATTGTAACATAAAAAGAAGTTTAAAGATAATCAAAGTGGACTTAAACCAATTGAATGAGAAGTCAAAGTTGATCTGGCGGCAGAAGTCACGAGAGAGGGGATATATAACATAGAAGAAACAGAGGGAAAAAAAAAAAAACACGCAGAGAGGAGGAAAAGAAATTAATTTCACATTTTTGTGCGAATTCATCGATAATTATGCAAGGATTGTGGAATTAATCACATTCGGACTTGGAGAAGTGAAAAAAACAACTGTATCATTTCAGCTAGCCGATAGAAGCATCAAACATCCAACATGCAAGGTTGAGGATGTACTCATTAAAACTGAAAAATTGATATTTTCGACGGACTTTATTGTTCTAAGCATAGAAGAAGACATATATATTTAAATAATCATTGGTCGATCATCTTAGCAACTAGTCGAACTTTGACTGACATGAAAAAATAAGAGCTAATCTTAAGGGTAAAGGATTAATAAGATGTTTTGAATTTACACGTCACATCCAAGCAATCATGAGAACGGGGAAAGTGAAATTATTAATGAGGATGATCTATATATTCAACAAAGATATTAGAAGAAAAAACCAAAATTTAGTGAAATTCTTGGCAGAGATGAGAACGAAAAATTCAAAGTTTGGAGAGTAAAAAGATTATGCAATGCTAGAAAATTGTAAAGAGTGCAAGGCCAAAACATTACGAGTCGAGTCACTATGATTAATACTTGGTCAAAGTCTAACTTGGGACTATAAACAAGAACTTAATGGGAAGTAACTCATTTTTAATTTTAATTAATGCATGGCATCATAAATTACATGATTGCATTTAGTAATTAGGCATGTTTGATTATTGTTTAGCTAAAAAACTTTTTGTTCTATTTTTTATTATTATTTTTAGGGTCGTCATCCTAACCCCACATAAAAAAAAAAAAAAAGAAAAATCACGATTCAAAAGTTGTTTGCCACGGTCAAACACAAGAAAAAATAGTTGAAAAGTAAGAGAAAAAATAGAGAAACTTTGAGGCCATCTCCAACTCTAAACCAAAATTTGAAGTAAGTTTTGTACCATTTTACACCAAATCTTGCTCCAAACTAAAAATAATCTCCATTCCATTACAACAAATGAATAGTGTTTAATTATTTTCTTCATTTTTCCGATTCCTAATAATTTATTTATTTGAAAAATTATTTATTTTTTATTTTACAACTACATAAATTATTAAATAAATTTTAAGTTAAATTAACGAAAATATTCAATTATTATTGAGTACTAAATTATTTACTTATTTTATGTATTACGTTGAATAGAATAAAAAAATTAATAATAATAATAATTTATTCTATTAGAAACATATATAACAAAATGACTCAAATACCCTTAACCAATATGTTTGGAAAATGAAAGAGGGGTAAAATTAACTTTGCAACAATATGGGGCAAGGTTTATGGTGCAAAATGGTGTCTTAGGATCTCCATTGGAGATGGCCTCATAAATTTTTTTTTTTGTTATTTTTAAATTTTGATAAATTTTAACTTCATATTTTCAAAATTCTCCTCCTCCATCACATATTAGAATTTCCAATTTATACAATCATGAACTTATTTCATCATCAATATATTCAATGTTATAAAATCATGAAAAGTTCATGTCTCACTTAAAAGTATTATTACTTTTAAGCATGATAATTTTTTCTTGAAATTTTTCTAATTTTTTTTTTTAATATTGAATTGATATACATGGTTTAAGTAGTTGATGTGTTAAAATTAGGCTTTTATTGAGATATTGATCATAATTGCTTGTTGTTAATGCAATTTATAATCTTATTTGTGACAAAAAATCAGAACAAAGAATGAGAGATCCCTTTGAAAATGAAGGATGACAAACAAAAGGAAACGATTTTACAATTTTGAAGGCCAACTCCATCTTCCAACGCTTATCCGGCGAGTCTAAAATTCCTCTATGTTATTTAATTTTTATATTTTGGGCTTTACAGTGTTGCATTGACGACAATGGAGGAATAAAATTTGAGGGTAAAAAAAATCTAGGTTTTCTTTCAATTTAATCTGCATGAATAATTTGTGCGATTAATTTAGTTTTAAGTTAGAATCTAAAAAAGGAAAATTTATTGAGAAAAAAATCAAAAATTATTGTTTTTTTAAAAAAAAATTAATATGCATGTGTTAGCTTACCTCGAACTGGGTAATTTATATCCAATGATAATATTGTGCATATCTATGAACAAAATTTAGGTCGATTCGTGTAAACACTTGAATTTTTAGTTATTTATGAATTCTATAATTTTGTACTAAGCCTTCGAACAATTCGAGCACGTACTCATTCTTAATTGCACTTATAGTTGGATTTAAGTTGAGTTTGTGTAAGTTAACTACTTTAGAATCTCTTAAATACTTTAGAATATGTTTATTACAGTAATCACCCATATTCTGAATCATATTGACAACCCTTTTTGAATGAGTTTGGGGTGATGACATCCATCTAAAACCAAAAACATCACCGCCCAATGATCTTCTAGCTCCTATAATTAGTCTAAAAAGTGAAATACGTCGTACTAGCCGTGACACGTATGCAAAAGTTACCTACACTATAGTTGAAGCTACTTTTGAGTAATTTGGCCCTACTCACCAAAAAATTATTTAGGAGATAATCTACTAAAAAAGAAGGCTACCTACAGTGTAGAGTGAAAACAACCTTTGAAAATCCAAAAGATCCCAAAACGAAGAACGCAAAAAATAAGAAAAGAAAAGTAATGTAAAACACATCAAACTGTGATGAGATAGTAGCAAAACAACTATAAGTGCTACCTATTTCTTGCTAAATCTTCGTTATCAATAAAAAATTGGAAGGTAATTGAGTGGTTGATGAAAATAAGTCCTATCTCATAGTTAGTTTACCTTGGAAACATTGAATTGTCTATATCAAGTCGAGTATTATTGTTTAGAGTTTAGTTAAGTATCTATTATCATTTTTCGATGATGAATAAATGTTCAAGTTTTGGACTGTTTGATAAGTATTAAATCCTAAGCCATCAAAATTGGCTTTTGTTAGTATTATTGTGAATTTGATACTTAATTATTTGCATGTTTGGATTATGTCAGGATAAAACTCGAGATTAGAACAAATCCTCCTTTACCTTAAAAGAGAGGATGTCAAATTTACTATTAACTTGAAACTGAGTGTTCACACAACTGTAGCAAATCTCGTTCAGCACTGTTTTGTTTTTCCAGCCTTAAAATATCTACCTTTGTTGCCACACTTTGTCAACAAGCAGATTTACTATTCACTTGAAACCGAGTGTTCACACAACTGTAGCAAATCTCGTTCAGCACTGTTTTATTTTTCCTTCCTTAAAATATCTACCTTTGTTGCCACACTTTGTCAACAATGAGGGTTAGATATTTTCACAACTGTAGATATTTATTTTTAGAGTGAAAAAGCAACCATTTATTTTACATTTATGGTGTGTTTGTGACACATTCTTTTG